TTTTCAAAGAGCCTTTTCCGTAATAAATGTCTCTGCGCAGTGTGGGGAAAGATTTACGAAATCAGTCTTCCCCCTGCATGATATTGGGTGACAGGCAGCCATTTGTCACCGTAAATCAGATACATTTTTCAATTTCTTGTTATTCAACTTATGCTAAATATAAATTAAAAATGCTCTTTGAAAAAATTAAGAATTTTTTCTACTTTTTTTTTTGATTATTCATTCATAATTTTTCAAAACTTCTGCATGATGCAGGATTTAATTGACAATCTCAGATGACGAAAGCTGAAAAAAAACATCGAGATAACGTTCGAAAGATGGTACACCCGGGCCTTAAAATAAGAGAATAATATAAAAATAAGAATAATCATAATTTCGAAGTAAAAATAACGGACAAAACAGTGGATTTACCACTCGAAACGTTGGCAAAGAGACGGAATTAAGCCCTTTTTGCTTGTTTTTTTAGTTTAAAATCGATGTGAACGTAAAATGGCCCGAAGGAGGAGAAGGAATTTTAATATCAATGCAGGCGGGTGGAATAATAATTCAGTTTAAATATCAGAGGCTCGAGAGGATTCTATCATTGTTGATAGGGAGAGGATACTGACTGGTCTATGTATTCCACAGTTACTCCGAAGGCTTCAGACATGTACTGCAGTGTCAGGGATCTGTAGGACTCCAGCAGCTGAGTATATGCTGAAATTCTCATTTCACGGACGTAGTAACGATAATGGGGGTGGATCAGGTAATCTCTTCTTAGGAGTCCTTCAACGTGTGCTAAAACATTGAAAACAGAAATATTCTCCATTAGTAAAAAAGTGAACGGTTGAATGGAGAAATATTCTCATTTTGAGGAATTAACAAGTTTCGCATCATTTTTTTTCCATAGTGCGAAAGGGATGTGCTGAGACAGTCGTGGAATTTTCAAGAACAAATAATTTACATTCGTGTTGTTTCAGTGATGAATAAAAATTACTGGAAATTGTGAATTTTGATAATTAGGAGTGTCATTGTCATATTAATGATGTAATTTCTAACACAAGTAACATATTTTGTGAATGATCTGATTTTAAATTGAATACAAATTCACAAAATTCAATTTTTTATGTATTAATTACTTGAATTTTAAAACATCGAACAGAAATATTCCCATTTCGAGAAATTAACAAGCTTTTACCATTTTTTCCATATTTCGAAAGGCATATGGTGAGAAAGTCGTGTGGAATCTTCAAGAACAAATAATTTTCATGAAATTTCCACTCATGTTGTTCCATTTTTCAGGATTATATGACAATCAAAATTTGTGGAAATTGTGAAGAGTCCCAATTTATTAAAAAATTAAAATATTGATGCTGTGATTTCCAACACGAATAAACAATTTTGTGATTGGTTTGATTTTAAATTAAATGCAAATTCACAAAATTCAATTTTTCATGCATTAATAACTCTAATTAAAAAAAAAAATTATTGTCTAGTGAAATAGTTGAACAGAGGAAAAAAAATATAAATAGAAAACTGGTCCCCCTGTTAAATTTTGAAATGCTTTTAAAAAACCACCCAATTACTGAGAAAATAAATATTTTGCAGCCATAAAAATACCTAAATTCTTGAAGAAATCAGCATAATGACAATTATACAGTGAGAAGAGGTACTCCTTGCAATCTGGGTTATTATGAAGGACCTCGAGAATTTCCGAGCCCTTGATGATCTTATCACGCAGCTCGTTCCTCGGTAGACTGATCATACTCAGATAAACAGTGTATCTGACGAAGGTATTGTAATCCATGAGTTCGTAACTGGTGAATGTGCTTATCGTATCCAGGAAGAAATTGGCAGCCTCTTTGAAGTCACGGATTGCTATGCAGTAGGTGCCTTGGTAGACTTTCAGACGATTCCTCCTGTCCCAGTCTCCACCCTCTTCAATTAAACTGCAGAAGACAGTGGAAAATTCACTCAAATTATTTATCTCCTTCCATTGTCTTTCATTCTTCATCTATCATTATTATTCATCATTATTATTATTTATTTATTCATACTTTATTTTTAATTACAAATAATATAGAGAATTAAATTTTTTGGGACACTAATTCGATTAGGGGAGGGTAGGGTAAAATGGACACTTTTGACTTTTTTAAAAATATTCATAACTCAGAAACAAATTTATCAATTGAGCTCAGTCTAAGCTCATCACAAAGAGGAATCATTGTTTTTCAATAGAAAAATAAATTATTCCATTTCACGAACAATTCAACACGTCATGAATATTTAAAAAAAAATCAAAAGTGTCCGTCTTACCCTACCCTCTCCTATAAAAAAATTTAATAAAAAAGCTTTTTGTTTAAGAAAATTCACATAAATTCGACAGAGTTCGTACAGAAGACAATCTTGTGAGAATAATTCATGTAGAAAAAATAAAGAACGCTAGTTTTTTAAAAATGATACTTTGGAGTATTGATCAATACCACAAGTCATTATTCATTTCTTTATTAAAATTTTTGAGAGAATATTTCATGTAGAAAAAGCAGAAACTATTGACTTTTTTTTACCAAATATCTACACAAAAAATGTTCGGTAGAATTATAGTGGGGGAGAGTGGGGTAAAATGGACAGTTTAGACTTTTGTTTTAATTACTCATAACTCAGAAACAAATTTATCAATTGAGCTCAGTTTAGGCTCATCGCAAAGGGAAAGAATTGTTCTTTGCAATGAAAAAAAAATGATTGAATTTTATCAACATCTCAACCCGTCATTAACATTTTTAAAAAAGTCAAAAGTGTCCGTTTTACCCCAACCTCCCCTATAACTTCAATAAAATTTCTTAAGAAAAGCTTTAGGTTTTTACACTAAATTATTTCAAACGTTGAAACTAGATTTTTTTCTTAACTCAACCAACATGTCAGGATTATCTCCAAATGAAGTTTTTAATGAACGATAATCTGGACTATTGATTGATATTCCAAATCATTATTTTTTAAGGTCACGCGATTATGTATATTGCTTATGCAATCTCTCATTAACTTCATCTATAGAATTTTAACATGGAAATGAACAATTATATAAATTATTTCTTCATTTATTCGTTGACTAAGTGGGAATGACGTAGAATTGTCTGTTGATCTATTGGAATTTAACAATCCTATTAAACTGACCTCTTCGCCTTATCGATGTTCCTCGTGATGTGATCATGATCCATGTAGAACAGACCAATCCTAATATTATGGAAAATAATATCAAGCCTGTGGCCCAACGAGACTGTCTTCTCGTAAGTTTTCCTAAACGCAGAAATGGCACCGTCCTTGTCCCCAATGCGACAGAGGTGCTCCGATTTTTTCAAGTTCGCCTCTCGAACCTCCATTTCACCTAGATTCTTCTCAGCATCCTCGATGGCATCGTCGAGGGCCTTGAGCTGCTCTCGATTCCGAGTTTTCATTGCTTCTAGGAGGTTCTCGTCGATTGGCCAGTCCAAGTCTTTGCACACTTCTTCGTAGAATGGTGCCATGTCTGAAGAACAAAGAGAATGTCCATTCTCATTGAAAATATTTATAACTCAGATACGGGGCCATCAATAAGACTTTAAGTTCATTAAATTGAAACATTTAATTAATATTTTAACGAGTTCTTAACCATTGAAACAAGTGGCTCATTGCACAGCTCTAAATCAAGTATAGTTTTTTTGCAAAAATTAGCAATTTGCTTCCGAATGGATTAATCGAATTAAAACAAAAAAGTGCATACTCGGTTTTCAGTCATTAATTTCAGATTAGTAAGGGATCATGAAGTTTAACCTCAGGAAAATTCAATAGTTTTTTTTTAAAGACAATTTGAGATAGAATTTTTTAGTGAACTGAATTTATTTTAAATTAGACAGATTGCGTGAAAACAAAATGAATGTAAAATTTAGTATCACAAGAGTTCATGCTCCTGATACATCAATGTTGATGTCTCCTCGGTCGTAAGTAAATTATTAAAATTTTATTTTTCTCCTGAACAGTCTTCCTTAAACTGGACGTAAGACCAGTATAACTTTTTTGCTAATGAATTAGCAATTTTCTTCTGAATGGTAAATTGGGGAAGAAGATATACCAGCCATGAAACCTTAATATGATCCCTAAATGTCCCAAATGTCTAACATGAGCTCCATATGCCCTGGTTAAACATCTAACAGACGCCGACTTAATTAAAATTGAACTGGTTTAAACTTCCACTGAACATTGATTAAACGTTGGCGAAACCTTGGTTAAACCCCAATTAACCTCCGACTAAATCCCGACTAAACCATGATTCAACCTCGATTAAATGCTTTTTAAGGCTGTAATTTCAGAGTAAATGATGCCATCGCCACTATCTTCGAACTCAACCGAGATAACATCCAAACGAATATTTTAAGCCATAATTGAAAAGATTTCGACAATTATTTTTTGAATGATCCTCGAAAATCTAAATTTGAAAAAAAAACTTACATACATACGAACATGATCTAAAAACAGCATATTAGAACTCCTGAGAGCAAAATTAGTCATCGGCTCACAAAAAAAATGGAAATTTCAAATTTGTCGAATACAATGGTTTCATTCAGAAGCAAAAGATAAAAGATAAAATTTTAAGATAGTTTTACCTTAATCATATTTTCTTTTTGCATATTGTCAGTTACAGGATTGAATTGAATACATAAATTGAATACACAATTTAATTGACGAATTTGATGATTGAAAATGGTTGAATCCATTGTGTAATCTCTACAAACTCGGGTCTTCAAATCGGGCTTTCAATTGAAGGCCCGAGTTGTAGACACGAGTTTGTAGCAGCGATGTCACACAAGATATGAATGTGTTTTTGGGCTCAAACGAAAGAGCGGGTCGAGAAATGGCGTGCTAGGACCTCTAAAGATGGTTTTGAACCAGGGAGGACTCCTAGCCCCCATTGGACAATGTCACAATTGCGCTTTTCAATTGAAAACAGACATCATGTTTAGAGACATTTGTCATCTTTAAAGACTTCTGCAAGCCATTTTTAGAGCCGCTCTTTCATTTGAGCCAAAAAAAACATTCATATCTTGTCTGACATCTCTGTTACAAACTCTGGTCATCAACTCTGGTTTTCAGTTGAAGTTGGAATTGTTAATTTACACAATAATAGGATTGCATTGACGATTTTTTCTTAACTCGCAAAAATCTTCAAACAATTTGCTATCGATTGGTGATAAAATTTGTTGGAAATAATGAAATAGAGGGGATAACGCCTTTTTTTTCAGAGGCGATTTTTCAAAAATTTATTTTAAAAAAAGTACTAACTAGCAAATGTTTTTTATTAGCTCGCAATTTTCTTCAAAACTACTTCAATGAGGAAAAAAATAAAAATTTGGAATATCTATACATGAGGGGCTAATTGATCGGATAATTTTGCCATCTTCTGACATTCCGAGATATTCATTGAAAAATGACCAACAGTCAAAATCAACTTAAACCGTTTTTCGCTATTGAATTGCTGGTCGGGGAATAAATGAATCTTCAATTCTGAAAGAAAATATTCATAACTCAAATACGAAGTATCAGTTGAAGAGGGCTAACGGACCCATTTGGCCCCACTCAGGTCCTCTCCTGTCAAACAATGAGGTTATACGCTAAATTCTCGAAATATTCATTATTGTTAATTACTGAATTGTGGATTCTGTTCGTTACGAAGAAATTAGAGAGAAGAAGGGGTCATTGTGTTTCGATTTGAATGGGGAAATGAGAAAATTGCAGACTCACTTTCGGCTTTTATGGCGTCGAGTAACTTAGCCTTCAGTGTCTCGTCGTTCTTGTGCTCGGATAAACTCAGTAAGAATTTTGTCTGTGCCAGCTCCAAGTTTGGATTCTTCTCCAGTCCATCCTCCTCCAGGTTTTCCAGTGGCATGTTTACTTTTTAGGTTTTTCGGAGTTTTCGATGATTCTGATAACCCTACTTTGTGGGACAGGATGAACAAACACTTTCGTTGGTCAGTGACTTACTGGCATGGGTTACGTTGCTTGGAGACGTGACCTGACTATTTTTTTATCTGTGGAGATTCCGTGATTCTGATTTTAGCACAAGCCCCGAGGTGGCTCTACAGATTTTTTTCCTCATTTTATTTATTATTTTGTTTTTGCCACGCGCCAATAGAACCTTTTTAACATTTTCAGTTAAAAAAGTTGAAACGACTGTTGAGAAATTAATGATTAATTTACTAAATTTTTACATTTTGAAACGTTTGAAATTGGTAATGACGTCACAAGGTCGCGTGAATACTGGACCAATCGCAGAGGGCATTTACACCATTCTTACTTCACATGGGCGCCTGCTCGGCCAATGGACTGTGACTCCTCCCATTTTTCACTTCAGTCAATGAACTCCGACTTTGTGACGTCATGATTCGGATATTTATTTCGAAAGGGGCTGATTATTGAGTAATTATTATAAATTGTGGAGGGCGACTTCATCACATTTTACACTGTTCGGGTATTTATCTGGTATTGAGGATGCATTAATTAATATTAAAAAATTATTATTCTATTCTATTCTATGTTTTTGGCCGTCCAACTTCGAGGTTTTACGGGCCGCTTGAATTATTGGTATGTTCGAAAAAAATATTAAGTCAAGAAATTGAAAAAGTCAAGAGATTCTTGTTTTTCAGTAAAAAAAATTGTTGAGCATGAATTTTTTCATTTTTTTCCGTAGTATTTCGTTTTGCTCCTCACTACAAAATTCTAGAATGAAAACTTGGACAATATAAAAATCAACATCTATTGATATTTTTGTGATACCTGCCTCAACAGTTCACTTCTCGAAACTGTTTAGGGTGCATAAAGCGATTGTTTTCTGCACGACGTGCGTAAAGTTCACGAGCATGCGTGAAGTGAATTTCGAGTGCGTAAAGTGAAGCTTTTACTCCACAATATATCATTTCATCACTAGTGCGTAAAACAAAATTTTACGCACGCTCCACATTTTTTGATGAAAAATAGGGTTTGACACTTGTGGGAAAAGTGTCCTTTGACAGTTGTCATTTTTTTATCATATGACGCCATCTTAAAAATGACGGTCATTTTGGATCATTTTGACCGTCATTTTTTAGAGCGCGTCATATGATCAAAAAATGACGGTATTATAACGGTCACGTGACGTCAAATTTTCTAACTACAAATGATGGTCAATAAAAATTGATAAAGAAAATATAAAGTCCCATCTGTAAAATGAAAAATGACTGGTATCAAATATACTATTAATGCTTTCACACGCATATTCGTAATATTTTACCAGCTGTGGAAACACTAATGCCGTCACCATATCGAATGGATACTGAACCAATCAGAGAATACATTCAGTCCATCCTAACTGAATCTGTGCACGTCTCAACCAATCAAAGGTGATGACTCCGCCCACTCGACCAGTGGGGGCCTAGACTGCGGTGTTGTGACGTCATGACAGAAAATTGGGTTCCAAAAAGGCGGATGTTGAATAGAAAAAAAGAAAAAAAGAGTAATCCCTAGATGCGATCTTTATTTGCGATGGGGAAATGTAAAATTCAAATTAAAATGATGAAAACAAAATTTTTCATTCGAGTCATTACTCTCTCAACTTCTGAGTTGTCAATGGCAAACAGCTGTTTCGTAGGGTGTATTGCAAACCCACACTTCACCCCCTTCTGGACATGTTTATCATGTTGATGAGGTGACGAAGAAATATTGAATAAACTTGAACCCCAGAAAATCAAAGATCGTCAACTAATCTCAGGAAAATTACTTAAAAAATAATGAAGTGTCAGTGATAAATGCCATGGAGGAATGATTAACCTCCCTGTGACAGTTTCGACTCCTCAATTATCTCCGAAGAATTGACGAGACATGGCCCAGTGCAAGTTAACCCCACGAGAATTTATCTGCAATGCTTTCTCCCCTCAAATCGGTGCTGTGTGCTCAGCCACTGCTGAAGCAATTTGCCAGAAGAACAATTTGTCGTTTATCGAACTTCTCCAGCCTTTTTGTAACCTCAATACCGAAGGTAATTATCACGATCCGTTATCATTACTTATTTCAGGGGGAAAACGTCAGGACAATTTTCGAACTCAACTCGAAAATTGTGGGCTGATCTGTCAAATATCTGCGTAACTAATGGAGATTCAGAAATTTTAGCTCTGACCTTTTTTGTGGAGCGAAATGGGAGCTTCAAAAAAGGTTCAGACGGAAATCATTGTATCTCCCTTCAATTTCAAGATATTTAGTGAAACTTAAATCGCTATCATTTCAATCGACTTATTCTCAATTGTTAATGACTGGATTTTTTCCTCTTTTCAACAGTTTTTTTGGATTTTAAATTAAGCCTTGATTCATTCAAATCGTGACATTTGTTTGAGAAATATCTCTTCGGCAGTTCTCATCATACTCTATGAAAAACATTTCGACAAAAATGACCCTATCCCCTTTGAACTTGAAAATTATTTCCTCAATGGTCACAAGGCTAAAATAAGCAGTTTCCAATCTTTCATCCCTCGAAGTCTGCCGTGTGTAATCCCACAATTTTTTTTTCAATTTCATAGAAAAACCTGCATTTTAAAACCTAGCGAATTCTCAAGGAAATTCTGTTGCCCTTTCTATGGAACTTTCTGCGAGTCTTTGGCTGGCATTTTTTTAAATAGAAATGTCCAATTAAAAGTATTATTTTCTGGAAATATTTCGTGTAGAAATTCGTTGGCTGAAATTTCCCAAGTTTTTTTGTTTAATTTTTTCCATGACAAGAGGAGAAAAATAGAGAAAAAAAAATAGAAAATTGATATCGAAGAATTCTTATAGATGTCTCAATAAAAAAATTTGTGTATTACTCATTTTATCTATAAAATAGTTTCCATGGGACATTTTGTATGAAAAAAAGTGCAGTAAAGCTGCGAAATTTCAAGACAATCGGCCAAAAACTGATGGAATTTCCACTAGAAGTACAATATTTAGTAGAAATCCAATCGAATTTCCTATTGCATTTGCTATGTTCTTCCATGAAATTTTTCCGAGCGCGCCCCTTCCCATCTTCCACAATTCCCCAGCCCCTCTAATTAAAAACGAAGACAACCCATTCATATTTTCACTTCTCACCCCTAGGTTACATCAAGGACCCCCAAGGAACTATAGTCCCCGTCCGCAACCTCCACCTCTCAATCCAGGACATCTACTCTCAGCCCCCAGAGCCAACAGTGGCCCGCAAGCTCTTGAATGACTCTGTCACCACCGAGCAATGTGAACGAACCACAACAATCACAGTCTCCAACATAAAACTCGACATCCCCGTGTCCGTCCCCTGGTACGAGTCCTGGAGGGATATGTTCCTGTCAGTGCAATTCCCCTCCGACCACGAGTTCACGAAGCACTACCTAGCCTGTCTGCTGGTGGTCTCAACCTCCGACGAAAGCCCCTTGGAGAAACTCCAGCAGATGGCCTCTCAGCTGCACCAGAGTGCCCCAGGCAAACTCCCGAAGTGGTTCAACAACAACGCTCTGAGGTAGGCAGATAGACAGAATGCAAACGGCACATGTGAAAATAAAATTCATAAAAAAACCTAGTGAATTTGCTGAAAAATGGTATTGGATTTCTATTGGGCTTTGCATTAGTTTTCGGCCAATTCTAATTGAAAAGTTCCGTAGCTCATCTGCGCGTTTTTTTTCAGTAGAAATGTTCAATAGAAAATATTTGACAGGAAAAATCAACGGAAATCGACGTTTCTTTACAATTTACTCCATTAAAATACTTTCTACAGAAATTTCTCGGCTCCAAGTTTGTAAGGTTTTTTGTTTGATTTTATTAAGGGGAGACTACTATGAGTTTTAAAAGTCGTGGGTTATTGGAGTGAGACTTTTCATACGTTGAAGATCGATTATATAGATCTGAAAACGAATAATTAGTGCAAAAAATACATTTTCGGAAAAATATGTGGAATAACAATTACGAGCTAGTTTTTTTTTTAATTCCCCTCTTACATGGCTAAATTTGCTTTTTCTGTATTTTTTTCCAAAAATAGTGAATTTTTTTATATGAAAAAAAAAAAACGAAATCAGCTGTGTAGGAGTCGAATTCCAAAAAAACTGGCTCGTAATTGCTGTTCCACACATTTTTTCCAAAATTTTGAAAAAGAAAAATCTTATGTCGCTCAAAAATTGGAGGCCCTGGACTGTTTTTAGCATTTTACGCGTTTTCGGGCAAATGAATAATAATAAAAAAAATTTTTACACTAATTATTCGCTTTCAGATCTATATAATCGATCTTCAACGTATGCAAAATCTCACTCCAATAACCCACGACTTATAAAACTCATAGTAATCTCCCCTTAATGAATAGAAAAGGAAAATGGAGTGGAAATAACGTAGAAAATTCATGTGGAGGAATAGAATAGAGTACTTCATTTCCTTCATGCTACTGTTACAGTTTTACATGTACACCGAATGTCTCACTATCCCACTCATTCCCATTAATCAATCACTTCCCCAGGCCCTGCACTCGATCACTAACCCAAAACTCAAAAAATCAGGTACTACATTCTCCTCCACGACGCCGCCCAAGACCACGAGAAGCAAAAAGCCGAGTCAGTCTTCGCAGAGATGAAAAACCTCTACGACTCGAACAACTGTTTCCTCCTGCAGATGAACTCTCGTCCCCCCGGTCAATCAGACGAGACCCTCCACCTGCCAGACCCCTGGAGTCAATTCCTGACAAAACAGCCTGACTACTCCCTGGACCACAGCAGCAGTCCCCGCACCCCAGCAGACACGACAGGGGTCTCGTCGATGCCCAACCAAGTGACCTCTGGCCACGACAAAACGAGTCAAGCAGGAACCCCAGTGGCCCCGCAGAACCCGATTCTCTTGTCCCCAGACGTCACCGACAAGATCAGTCTCTCCTCAGAGATCTCAGACATCCCGAGTCTGCAGGTGGAGCTCGGCCAGGAGGCTGTCCCAGTGACGATCCACCCCCTGAGCCCAGAGACAGAGAAGCCAAAGCTCCCAGACACCCTCGAGGCCCTGAAGTCCTCTGGCTCCCCCATAAACATCAACGTCTGGGCAGACTCTCCCAGTCGTCCCCCAGCCCATCATGGGGCTCGTCTCTCCACCCAGGACTTGGACAGAATCCGCAGCCTGATCTCAGAGTTCTGTCTCAAGAGCCTCTTGCCATACGTTGAGAAGCAGATAAACTTGCTGAACGACGTGATCTCCAACAAGAAGGGGGTCAGCAGGTCCCTCTTCAGTGCCACGAAGCGATGGTTTGGGACCAATAAACCTGGAGCTGCTGGCTCCACCCCCACAAATGCTGTCATCTACACGACAGAGTCACCAGAGCTCCAACTGCGTCGTCTGGGGGATCTCTGCTTCATGTTTGGGCATTACACCCTGGCCTATCAGGCTTATCACTCGGCCAAACGTGACTTTGCTGCTGATCAAGCGTGGTTGTACTACGCTGGGGCCCTGGAGATGGCGGCGTTGAGTGCATTCATGCAGGGGGAGATGACCAGGAAGACCATTGAGTACATGGACGATGCGATTTTAACGTACTCGAATAGCTGCAAGATGCCGCAGTTCGCTACTAGGGCCACTTTGCTGTCCTCGGAGTGCCTCAAGGGGAAGAATCTGTATGGAGAGGCTGCCAAGCAGCTCATCAGGATGACCAGTGAGGACTCCGATTTGAGGTCTGCTCTGCTGCTTGAACAGGCTGCCTACTGCTTTATTTTGTCGAAAATGGTGCACAAGTACGCGTTCCATGCGGTCCTGGCGGGGCACAGGTACTCCAAGGCTGGGCAGAGGAAACATTCTTTGAGGTGAGAGTTAATTTTTCAAGTTTTTGCTTACGAATGGAAGGATTGTAATTGTTCCAATTTAAGGCCCGGGTGTACTATCTTTCGATTGTTATCTGTTTTTTTTATCTTTTGTAATCCAAAATTGTCAATTGAGTGGTGCATCATGTAGAAATTCCCAAAAATTATGATAGAATGATTAAAAAAAATAGAGAATATTCTGAACTTTTTCAAAGAGCGTTTTTAATTGAGATTCAGAATGAGTTGAAAAAAGTGGAAATTACAAATGTCTGATTCGTTGTGGAAAATTATATATTAACTGTCATTTTCCATGGTGAAGTGGTTTTCCATGGTTTTACGTCATAAAAGCGCGATTAAAAAATTCTCCAAATATTACCGCTTTTTTCAAAGAGCCTTTTCCGTAATAAATATTTTGTGCAGTGTGGGAAAAGATTTACGAAATCAGTCTTCCCCCTGCATAGAAGATTAATACACGGAGAGAAATTTTTGATAAAAATTACCCTACCGTTCTATAAAAGTGTATCATGAGTCATCGTTTCCTTATTTCTATCCCGAAATTCAGTAAAAATTAATATATGATGATCAAATTTTATTCTACGTTAGAGAAATTTTATCCTGACGCATAATAAATTTTACCCTTCCAGTCCAGTAATTTTTATGTAGATAACCACGAAAATTCAGAACGGTTGGTACATTTTACCCTACCGGTACAGTAATTTTTACTCTACCGGCACGGTAATTTTTATTTTTATCAGGATAAAATTTCTCTAACGCAGAATAAAAATTTCATCATCATATATTAATTTTTACTGAATTTCGGGATAGAAATAAGGAAACAATGACTCATGATACACTTTTATCGAACGGTAGGGTAATTTTTATCAAAAATTTCTCTCCGTGTAGAAAGTTTAACAGAAATTCAATAGAATTTTCCAACGAATTCGATAGGTTTTTCTATTAAATTTTTTCGTGCATGTACAGATGCTATCAGCAGTCTTACCAGGTATACGACGGCCGAGGCTGGTCGCTGGCCGAGGACCACATTCACTTCACGATCGGTAGGCAAGCAGCCTCTCTGAAGCAAGTGGAAGAGGCAGCACGCGCCTTCGGAAGACTGTTGAACCCCTCCAGCAGGCAGCCCGCCCCCCAGCAAGCAGCCTTCCTCCGAGAGTTCCTGCACATCCACAATCTCCTCCTCCAAGAATCATCCCACTACCCCGGGCTCCCAGTCCTCCCCCTCCCCCTGATCAACGGCAACGAGATTAAAGTGCTGCTGGGCCCCTTCCTCGAGTCGCCCCGTCTCACAGCCGCCAGTGGAGTCTCCTTCGACCACTCCGACGAGGACGACGACCCCAGATGGGCGAAACTAGAGGAGCACCTGGTCTCCGAGGGCCTCGGGGCCGTCCCCATGATCTTCAAGCCCACAATAGCCCTTTACACCCACAAAACCAACAACACCAGTCCTCCTACAGCTGTCATTGACGAGCCCATCCACCTCTCGATCGAGCTCCAGAACCCCCTTCACATAAATATTCCTTTATCCAAAGTCAAGCTAATCTGGACCTTCGAGAAGGACGGAGAGGTCTTCAGCAACGAGACAATCACCGAAAATTCCCTGTCAGAGTCAACTTCAGTGGAGACTTCAGTGATAGACCACATCGTGCTGCAGCCCATGCGCAAGCAGAGGATCAGCCTGAGCTGCACCCCCACGCAGACAGGAAGTCTGAAGATCCAGGGGCTCAGCTACGATCTCTCCAACCCCAGCAACGGGGTCGACCAGCCCGTGGTCAACCCCTCAGTCGTGATCCACGGGAAACGTCTCTTCGAGATCAAGGGCCCCAAGCTGAAGAACGTCAAGGAGAAACCTGGGGCTGTGATGTACGGGATCGATAAGAGACTCGACATCAATGTAGTGGACAAATCCCCTTTCCTGGGGATTTACTTCAGCAAAGTATCCCCGGAGATGCTGTGTGGGGAGATGCAGAGGATCGACGTCACCTTCAGGAACATTGGAAATGCTGGGCTGACGAACATCCTCGTGGGGTCGATGTCCCCCGAGTTATTTTGCTTTGAGAATCCTCGGGACGAGGACAGCAGCAGAATCACTGACGTCAACGAGAAGCCAGTCACGAAGATCGTCCTGCCCTCGTCCAGTGGCGGAGTGATAGGAATTAATCAGGAGTTCACTGTTCCTCTTTGGATTAGGGCGCCTCACAAAAAGGGGAACCACCGGCTGGATCTCCTCTTCTATTACGAGAACGAGGACGTCAAGGGGGTTCCGAGGTACAGACTCTGCAGGCACACGTGGCAGTTGACGGTTTTGGACTCCATTCACATTAAAGCCATCGTGAGGCAGAGTGCTGTCACCAGTGATGAGGCCCTGACGTCGAATCTCGTGATTCAGGTGAAGAACGCCAATCAGGTGCACGATCCCTTCATGCAGGACATCGAGCTGACCAAGATCTCCCTGAGGAGTGATGCCTGGTGGCTCTCGGAGTCCCTCGTGAAGACATTCCCTCATCAGATTAAGCCCCAGGAGACCTGCCATCTGGTGCTTAAACTGTGTCGCAGGGATCATGACGATTATTTTTCGAGTGTTTCGTTGGGGGATGCGGGGGAGCCTGGGATGGAGGGGCTCTACGAGGGGTTCGTGAGGAGACAGCAGATGAAGGGCTGCACTGACAGCAATCAGAATCATGTCAAGGGGACGGAGGGGAATCTGGAGGTGTTCGATGGGGGCAGGGCTGGGGCCACAATGATTGTCAGGTGGAGGGCGAGGATCATGGAGGGGAAGACTGTGGCGAGGGTGGCTATTGGGCATCATCATGTGGACATGAGGTATCTTAATAAGCTGTACAAACATCCTGAGGAGGTGGTGCAGCCCGAGCAGAGGGAGTACTCGTCGAGGCTCAAGATCTTTGGGCCTGACAGGAATGTTCCTGATTCTAATAGTGAGGGGAAGGCCGAGGGGGACCAGGAGACCACACTGGCGAATGCTCTGTCGTTCTCGTTGAGTCACGAGAAGAATTTGGCTCATGACTTTGGGAAGGAGAGGGTCTTCGTGGTGCCCGTGCTGCTGCATGTGCAGAATAACTCCAGGTCGAGGGTCGATGTCAGGGTTAATACGCTAGGGACTAGCAGGTGAGGGTTTTTTGGGTGTGAGGTGCCTTTTGTTATTACTAGGCGAAACGATAGCCAGGTTGCCGGAGATCGATATGTCGTCATTTTTTATTAAATTTTCATTCCCCTGATTTTCACGTTCCATAACAACAGAAATCCTTTGAAGTGGTATGTGAATAGTTTCATTCACTTGACTAATAGTTATAGGAAAATTCAAACCAAGCTGAATTTAAAATAATATTTGGAATTCAATTTTTGGATTAAAACTGCAATCTGTTAAGGAAAATTAGCCTTAATTGAATAATTCCGTGGACGAAAAAGTTTAATAGAAAAACCTATCGAATTCGGTAGAAAATTCTGTTGAATTTCTATTGAACTGTTCTATTAGTTTTTGGCCGGTTCAATAGAAAATATTCAGTAGAAAAAATCAATAGAATTCAATTTTTCTATGTAACTTATTCTATTGAGATATTTTCTATAGAATTTCCTCAGCTCAAATTTTCCAAGTTTTCTCGTTTGATTTTCTTGATAAGAAGAAAAGAAAAATAGAATGAAAAAAATTAGAAAATTTGAGTCGAGCAAATTTTACAGAAAATATATGAAAAGAATAAGTTATATAGAAAAATCGAATTCTGTTGACTTTTTCTATTGAATGTTTTCTATTGAATATGACAAAAACTAATAGAACAGTTCAATAGAAATTCAATGGAATTTTCTAACGAATTCGATGGGTTTTTCTATTAAATTTTTTCGTTCGTGTAATATATGCTGGACATGTATCCATTTTTTTAAAGAAATGTCAGGAAATATTTTCTGTGAAGAATTTCCTCAACTGAAAATTTTCCCTCGACATTTTTGCCGAAATGATGAATTAGCGAGTCGATTTTCAAGCGATATGAAGAGGATTAATCCATGGAATTGTTTTATTACAGTCAAGCACACCTGCCGAGTGTCAAATCTCAACTGTATTCGCCACAGGCCTCCACTTTCTTCCGCTATGCCTGTCACACCTCAATAAAATGTCACATAGAGGCATACGGACGTCAAACCATGAAACTTCATGCTGTCATCTCCTCCGCCGGCACCTACGATCTCGCATCCAGGCTCACCCTCTCCGCTAAAACTAGTAATTTCGAGGAATTCGTGACGCAAAAATGGAGAACTGAGAGTGTATGTATCGTGAACGATGAGCGTTTGTGAGAGGGATGTTGGGGTATTGAGAAACACAGAATCATTCCTTAGATGAATATTGATGGAGTGTACATATTTCCATTAGGCGAATTTTTAAACGAGTCTTCGAGAATTATAGGGGAAAAGGATTCTAGGATTCTTCCCCCCCTGGACAATATCTACAAAACAAAACCCGGACAAAATCTCCTCCCAAAAATCTCTTCCGAAAACTTATTCGTACAAGCAGAACAATATTATCGATCCAAAAAAAAACTCACTTGTCTTTACTTCATGGAATTCGTTGAAAAACACGAAAACATATTTGTTTATTCCCCTCTCCAGGGAGAGTTTGTCCGCGAAATTTAATAAAAGGTTAATTTTGTCCGGGAAATTGGGTCTGGGGGATTTTGTCCGGGGGAGAAGATTTCGACTACCGGGGAAAAGTAGTCTTGGATCAAGGATATTTTCTTCGTCACTTCAGAATGAGGTTTCTTGGTACAGGAATTGAATATTCTTGATTCGAGAACGAGTATTCTTGTTTCAAGCATGAATATTCCCCATTGAAGAATTTTGGGTCAAGAATTCTTTATTGAAAAACAAATATTCTTGGTTGAAAAATCAATTCTTTTGACTCTAGTATGAATTCTTCTGATTCATGAATATCTAGATATTCTTGAGCCCAGGGTGCAATGTATTTAATTCACGGATTTCAAAAATATTCTTGATTCCAGCATGAATAGTTTGGATTCAGTTAATTTTGATCTAGAATTCTTCATACAAGAATTAATATTCTTGATCCAAGGATAAAATCGAGAATTGCAAAGACTTATTCTCGAATGAAGAATAAATATTCTTGACTCAATAATGGATAATCCTGATTCAAGAATAAATACACTTAATCCGAAAATGAAATATTTTCAGTTCAAGAATTCCAAAAACATATTCTCGAATCAGAAGTGAAATATTTTTTATTAAACAATACGTGTTTTTAGTTCAGGAATGAATAATGTCGATTCGAGAATAAATATTCTTAATTCGAGAATGTTGGATCAAGAATTCTTGATCCAAAAATCATGCACGAAAAAATTTAATAGAAAAACTTATCGAATTCGATTTTTCTACACAACTTATTCTATTGACATACTTTCTATAGAATTTTTTACTTTTTTTTTCATTCTATTTTTCTTTTTTTTTCATCGAGAAACCCAACCAAAAAAAAAAACAAATTTGAGCTGAAGAAATTCTATAGAAAATATCTCAATAGAATAAGTTGTAAAGAAATTCGAATTCTATTCACTTTTTCTGTAGAATATTTTCAATTCACCATTCCAATAGAATCGGCCAAAACTAATTGAAAGTTCAATAGAAATCCGGTGAATTGTTTTGCGAATTCGCTACGTTTTTCTATTAATTTTTTTTTTCATTTGTGATGAAATATGCCTTACTCAAGAATTTCAAAAACATTCTCGAATCAAGAATTTTCATATTCTCTCAAGAAACTCCTATACTCTCAATCCAACAATATTTTAATTTCCGCAAAAAATAGAGATTACCAATCCTTGTCGCCGCGACGAGATAGTCTTCATTCGTTACATTGTCCTCCCAACGTCTACTTTCTGTTATTTAATACTCGTACGTGCATTTCATTTAGTCAATTGTTTGTTTATTGTTTCTGACTGCAAGTATGAATTGTGTCCCTCAATTTTTTCGTCGTACGTACTGCAGCGAGCAATTGTTGATGAAATCAATGAATTATGTGAAGACATATCACGATCAGATTGATTATTTTCAATGAACACCACATGTTAACGTATTGTTTCCTCAGATTTGTATATTTTGAGTTCACGTATTATTTGGTGCAGTCAGTTCGATGTATACCTAGGTATTATTTGTATAAAATATGTGACATAACTTCAGTGTAAATACAGTCAAGTGTAACGAGGCAATAGGGCAATATTACAACGGAATTATGCGTGTATACTTATAAATATTGCATTATTACTGATATTGTTATCAATTAAAAACATTTAAACAAACAATGAGTCGTGTTTTTTTTGTTCTAATGTTTTTATTCAAAACAAGTGCTCTCTTTTCTTTATTTTTATTTCACTATTCTTTTCTTTTGATTTTTCATGGCATAGTACTTTTGGAACTGATGAAAAGAAAACTTATTTAATTTAATAGAATTAGATAAACAATGAATTATACGTGATAGAAGGACATGATGTGCAAAATAACGATTCGGAAGTGTATTGCTAGTTTATTAGCAAAAATAACTATACTATATGCAATACAAGAGCAATTTTCTATTTTTTTTTAAATTTTGGGTCCAGTTTTTGGATTTTTTTTGGAATTCATGTTTTGTAGGAATCTTTTTCCGGGGAGCAATTTTCCAGGGAACATTTCTCCCAGAAGCCTTCAATTAAGTTCAGTCTACACTCAGAAAAACAAACACGTCAAACAAGTCTTGTTTGGGCCAACAAAATCGCTAGTTGAAAATTCCCAAAAAAGAATTTGTTTGGTTCAAATTTGCAAGTCTCAAACATGAATAATTGTTCTGCTTTCGACAGCAACGAAATATTTGGCTCAAGAGGCGGATAATGCACACCAGACGGTGCCTTTTCAGGATGAAAATGTCTCATATAGAGGAAAATTTATCGACAAATATTTTATCCCTAAGTTACAAGATTGCTATCATATCATTATTATTGTTTCATTTAAGGATTCATTTCTTGTCTGTGATTATTAGACAGTCGAAACGAAAAACTACATTCCCTTGTTCCGCATAAAACAAAGATTTTTCGGGAGCAAAATACGTATGGGAGTATCGAATAACGAAGGAGTAGTGCTAGAAATGACATTTCTTGCGTGTACAGAGAATGCAATTTTTTTTTAACTACTAAATCTATTTCTGCGACAAAAATGTTTCATTCCGGCGCACTCTCTGCATTAGCACAAAAAAATCCTTTTTTGATCATTTTCAAAAAACTATTTCCTTGGCGCAAGAAAGACTTGTTTGAGAACTTTGTCGTTTTTCTCTCCGTGTAAGTTCATCAGAGAAGGGAAGAATTATTCTTTTAACAGCGGAAAAAATCGTCGTCGCAGAGCCAGAGAGGCGCAGCAGCTATTGTACACACCACTTACGCCCCTCTGGTTATCCGACGACGAAATTATTTCATTTCTTCTACAATTCAATGAGTCATTAAAATTTCGAAACATTTCAAAAGTGGCTATTTGCAAAATTTTATTTTTTCAAATTTTCCCTGGACATTTGAATTTCGACAGACTTCTGCATGACCGACGCATTTAAAGGGCCTCTGTGCACACATATCTATATATAGAAATGTTTATGTACCGTGTTTGTTGGCATAAATACTCCAGTGCTCCAGTGTCTACCATCATCACTCCCCAACTACAGCTTTTTTTCTACGAGTCGTTAATTACCACGAATGCAGATGAATAAATGACAATGCTTGAACATCACATTTTAGTTTAAAAATGTCAGTGTCAGCAGTGATCTCACATTACTCCTCTGCACTGGTGAAGCTAACCTCGACGTAGTGTTGGAAAATGGGGAACTATGCGGGTAACATTATTATATAGTAAGTAAAGCGTTAATTGTCATCTTTCATATTTTTTGTCTCTGTCATTATTCAATCATTTGTTAGGGGCGGGTGGGGCAAGGTGGACAGTTGTCTTTTGTTATGTTTATAGCTCAGAAACAAATGGTATAATTACAATTTCAATTGAGTTTCTGTCTAGGCTTGAACAAAGGGGAAGAATTGTTCTTTCTATAGAGGGAAAAAATATCATGTTTCTTTTTATGAAAAAATTGAGAGAAATGCCTAACACTTCCTCTAACAAATTCTATTCAATTTTTGTTAGAACTGGATAAGACTTTTATGGGATTTTGTCTGAATTTCATTGAAAAATTCTATTTTTTTTAGCAGGCACTTTAGTAAAAATGATGCAACTTCCCCGTGTGTATGTCGATATTTGTTGATGAAAAAATGTCTAAAGATGTTGATTTTTCTATATTTTAATCTGTTCGGATTTTATCTCGAAGAATTGTTGAACATGAATCTTCAAACCTTTTTCTCTTGGATTTTACTATAAAGAACAAATGAAAATACAGCAAAAAAAACATGGAAAATTTATGCCCAAGAGTTTCGATAGAAAAGTAAAAATCTATTGACTTTTTTATGAAATATCTCTCAATAAAATGACACGGTAAAGTTGCATAATCTTCTATAGAAAAAGTCAATAGAATTCAACTTTTCTGTACTTTTCCTATTGAGATATTTTCTATAGGATTTCCTCGTCTCAAATTCACCAAGATTTTTTTTTTTTTTTATGAATAGAAACGAAAAATAGAAGGGAAAAACTAAGAAAATTTGTCGAATTTTCCATGTTTTTTTGCTTGATTTTCTTGCTGGAAAGAGACGAAAAAAACGATAAAAAATTTCAGCCGAAAAAATTCTATAGAAAATATGTCAATAGAGTAAATTGTATGAAAAAAATCGAACTTCCTCGTGTGTATATAGATATTTGTTGATGAAAAAATGTCTAAAGATGTTGATTTTTCTATATTTTATTCTGTTCGGATTTTATCTCGAAGAATTCTTGGACATGAATCTTCAAACCTTTTTCTCTTGGATTTTACTATAAAGAACAGATGAAAATACAGCAAAAAAAACATGGAAAATATATGCCCAAGAGTTTCGATAGAAAAGTAAAAATCTATTGTCTTTTTTATCAAATATCTCTCAATAAAATGACACGGTAAAGTTGCATAATCTTCTATAGAAAAAGTCAATAGAATTCAACTTTTCTGTACTTTTTCTATTGAGGTATTTTCTATAGGATTTCCTCGTCTCAAATTCACCAAGGTTTTTTATTTAATTTTTGATGAACAGAAACGACAAATAGAAGGGAAAAACTAAGAAAATCTGTCGAATTTTCCATGTTTTTTCGCTTGATTTTCTTGTTGAAAAGAAACGAAAAACACTATCAAAAATTTCAGCCGAGAAAATTCTATAGAAAATACGTCAATAGAGTAAATTGTATGAAAAAAATCGATTTCTATTGACTCTTTCTACAGAATAATTTCTATTGGACATGTCAATAGAATTTTTTATTTATTTATACGCATCAACCCTAATGGGTTATTTACAATGTCAATAGAATCGGCCAAAAACTAAACGAAAAAAAAGTTCCATAAAAATTGAAAAGGAATAGTGTAATAGAAGTCTAAAAATTTGATTATTAAAATTTATTTGTCTATTAAATTTTTCCGTGCGTTCAATAGACTCTAAAAATACAAAAATTGCAAATTCTTACAGTCTGCTAGTATTGTTTGCCCTGGGTGTCATCTATGGAACGACACAAATTGTCAAGTCCTTCACAGACACTCAGGGGGATATTCTGAAGCCCTCAGTCTCCTACAGCTGGATCATCAGGCTGTGCCTCAATGTATTGGGGTATGGAACTGTTTTATTGCCAGGGTACTTGGTGTACAAGTACGTTTGCTTCAGCAAATATCTGCAGAGAGGTGGTAAGTCCAATCAATTTATTCTAATTCACTTTCATGAATGCCCTTGTCACTTCTGAATTTTATAATTTTTCTGGACCCAGTAATTATTGACAAGGAATTTGAGAGTCTCAGATTGAATTGAAGGAATTTAATTGGCAATAGATTGTTGTATTTAATTGTAGTAATTGAATGCATTCAATTGTAGTAATTATTTAGAAGGAATGTGAGAGGCTCAGTAATTGAAAGAAGATTATTGTATTCAATTAAATACGTATCAATAGCTGATTACGATTGTGCGCTTTTTTCTTCTCTATTTCCAAAAAAAAAAATTGATTTTAATTTTTGAGGAAACTGAGTCACCTGTAAATTTTATTAATGAATAATCACTTGACTTCTGAAATAAAATGAGGCAAAAACATTGCTTTGGCTTCTATTTTGAAAAAATTTCAAGTTTGAGGCGTTATTTTCATAAATTTTAATAAATTACAATCTTTTTCATCATAACATCGAACTAAAAGTTCACTTTTCACCAAATTTTTCAAATAATCCATCGAGAATTTATATCAATTAGTTTTGAAATGCAAGAATCCAAGAATTTTTAATTAAGATCTGGTGAAATTTGTCGATTATTTCAATTTTTTTTCTATCAGGTTCGGGATTTCTAGCGAAATTAATTGGAAAATGTTTCGTGGGAAGTGGAGAATCGGGTCTACTAGACTCGCCATCGTATACGCCACAAGCCAATGGATCGAGAGACCCTCACACATTCTCTCAGGATGCAATCCTCCTCATGTACTGTTTCTTCGGACTGCAGTTCAGTTACTTGACGTGGGGATATCTCCAGGAGAAAATTATGACTCAGGTAAGACGAAAGTTACAAAAAATTACATGTGAAAATGTTGAGTAGAGAATTGGATTATTGGACTATTTTTGAAAATTCTATTACTTTTTAAAGAATTTTCGACAGAATTAATTTCAAAAAATAAAATCAGTACGCTTTCATTTTTCTATAAAACTTTTTCTTTTAAGACATTTTCTACAGAAATTCCTCCACATGAATTTTCTACGTTTTTTTATATTCCCCACTATTTTTGTTGTTGATTGTTTTATTAAAAAAATCCATCAGAAAAACTTAGAAAATTTGAACCGAGGAAAAAAATTGTCATAAATAATACAAAAAATATTTCAATAGAATAAAATTTCTATAGAAAAAACAGCGCTGATAAGCTGCGAAATTTTCCAATAAAGCTCGGCCAAAAACCAATATAAACTTGAATAGTAATCTAATAGAATTTTCTAGTGAACTCGCTAGGTATTTCCACGAAATTATAGTGAAATCTGTAGAATTTCATTTTTCTACGCAACTTTTTCTATTGACACATTTTCTGTAGAAATTTCTCAAAATTTCTCAACAAGGATTTTATAAGTTTTTTTACCTTAATTTTCTTCTTTTGTGACTAAAAAAATGAAGCAAAAAACTCACAAAAATTTGAATCGAGAAGTTTGTACAAAAAATATATTTTTTAAAAATTTAAGCACAAACCTAACGGTTACATAGCTACAAAAAATATCTCAATAGAATAAGTTATAACGAAAAATCGAATTCCCTTGTTGTTTTTCTATAGAATATTTTCCACTGAACAGTTCTGTCTTATCTGCGCATTTTTTTCAATATTTCTATTGAAAAAAATGCGCAGATAAGACAGAACAAGCCAACAACTAACATACATAATTAAATGTTTTCAAAATTATTTATAATAATAATATTTAGTAATATTTACTACTTCCCGTTCAGGAATATGTAAATACCGCTGGTGAGAAGCAACACTTCCACGACTCTCAATTCCTGGTGTTCGTCAATCGAATACTAGCCTTCATAATGTCGGCCCTGTACCTGATGGTGAAGCGTCAGCCTCGTCATGTGACGCCCCTCTACAAGTACGCATTCTGCTCACTATCCAACGTGATGAGCAGTTGGTGTCAGTACGAGGCCCTCAAGTTCGTGAGTTTCCCAACGCAAGTGTTGGCGAAGGCCTCGAAAATCATCCCAGTGATGATCATGGGGAAGATCGTGTCTCGAGCCTCGTATGACTACTACGAGTACGTCACTGCAGCCCTCATCTCCGTGGGAATGACCCTCTTCATGCTGGGGAGCATGGAGCACGAGAATGATGGGGCTACGACAATTTCGGGGATCATTCTTCTCGCTGGGTACATGGTGCTTGACAGCTTCACTAGCAATTGGCAGAATGCTCTGTTCCAGGAGTATGGGGCTACTAGTGTGCAAATGATGTGTTCTGTCAACATGTTCTCGTGCATGTTGACTGCTACCTCGCTTTTTCAGCAGTCCAGCTTCGCACAGACACTCGAATTTGTTACGAAGGTAGTTATCACGGGCGAAAAAATATAATAGAAAAACCTGTCGAGTTCGTTAGAACATTCTATTGAATTTTTATTGAGCTGTTCTATTACTTTTTGGCTGATTCTATTGAAGTGTTCAATAGAAAATATGAAAAATCTTCAGTAGAAAAAGTCAAGAGAATTCAATTTTTCTATGTAACTTATTCTATTGAGATATTTTCTATAGAATTTCCTTGGCTCTTTTCTAAGTCTTTTTGTTTGATTTTCTTGATGAGAAGAAAAGAAAAATAAAATGAAAAAAATAGAAAATTCGAGTCGAGCAAATTCTATAGAAAATATATGAAAAGAGTAAGTTATATAGAAAAATCGAATTCTGTTGACTTTTTCTATTGAATGTTTCTATTGAATATGTCAATAGAATCAGCCAAAAACTAATAGAAAGTTGAATAGAAATTCAATAGAATTTTCTAACGAATTCGGTAGGTTTTTCTATTAAATTTTTTCGTGCGTGAAAGTCCAAAGTTTTTGAACATCCTTAATTCAAGAAGATTCATGATAATGAGTTTGTCATGATGTTTTTTTTTTCTAATTATTTTAGAATTTCCAGTACTCAAAAAAATAAATGTATAGATATTTTTTATAGAAAAGAGTCGTTAGATAACTTTTATATATATCACATTTCATTGGAATTTTTTCTATAAAAATTTTTGGCTACGAATCTTCTGAATTTTCATTCTTGGATTTTAGGTTAACCACCAAATAAAAGGACAGTAGAGAAAATTTAGAGAATTAATTTTCAAGAAATTACTAAAGTGCTTGAACTTTCTTAATTCATGATAATGATCTTCCTTTGGTTTGATTATTTTACAGTTTCCAGTATTCATCGTCGACTGTCTGCTTATATCGATATGTTCCGCCAGTGGTCAATTATTTATTTTCTATACGATAGCAAAATTTGGAGCTGTAACATTTGTGATAATAATGACGATACGTCAGGTAAGTTGAGTAATAAAACTACTACAAAATGCTTTGCCTCATATTATTCTAATCATATCATTCTCTTTCCAGGGATTAGCAATATTGTTGTCTTGCTTAGTCTACAACCATCGAATAACTTCGTTCGGAGTGATAGGTGTCCTCCTAGTATTCGGCTCGATATTCCTGAGAATATACTGTGGAAATCGGTTACGAGCTCTTCGCAATCGCAGTCGAGAGAATGCACCTGTAAAAGATTGAGTGTTTTTTATCAACGAAAAAATCTAGAAAGCTTCGTAATTATATTTTGCTGAGAATCGGAACAATTATTTACCATGACAATACCGTAAAATATAGATTGAGTACTTAGACTTTTCAAGACTATACAACCAATTTTTCAGCGATACTAATGAATTATCGCACTCTTTTTTACTAATTTCAATAGTACAATATGCGATCAAAGCCTATTTTGTCAAACTGTTATCAGGCAGAAGTATAAAAACGTTCGAGAAAAATTGAATAAAAAATCTAGTGCTTTCGATATTTTTATAGAAAAAAATCTATAGTTTGATTTTTCTATGTAGGTTGCACAGGCCAATTGCTAGAGTTAAGCGAAATTCGAGTTTCGTGGTAAAATAAAAGAATCACCTAGATGGGAATAGGATGGCTTTCATGCCTCCAAGAATATTTTAATTAGCAGAAAATAGTATATTTCAGCACGTGTGGGGCAATTTCGTCTTTAACGTGTGTGGGGTTTACAGCATGAGCCGAAGGCGAGTGATGTAACCACACACGTTAAGGACGAAATTTCCCCACAAGTACTGAACAAAATTTTATGTCACGAAGCCTGAAACCGGCTCAATTAGACACGAGACGCGAAGCGTCGAGTGTGTAATCCAGCCGGTTTCAGGCATGAGTGGCATAAAAATTATTTGAAGTCAAAATAAAACAGAGAATAATTAAATTAAAAAATAGTTGAATGCAGCCGAAACCCTCAATTTTAGACGACTGGGTCATATTTTTTTTATTTATTAAATGTCGATCAATAGGAAGAACAATTGATCAGATGATTATACACGAGTAATATTATTGAAAAACGAAATAATCAGTACAATTTCTATTTTATTATTTATGGAATATTCAACGGAAGTAGAAATCGTCCAGAAACTAACTCTCGTCCAGAAATTGACCTGTTTATCCAAACAATTTTTCAGCGATACTAATGAATTATCGCACTTTTTTTTACTAATTTCAGTAGTGCAATATGCGATCAAAGCCTATTTTGTCAACCTGTCATCAGGCAGAAGTATAAAAACGTTCGAGAAAAATTGAATAAAAAATCTAGTGCTTTCGATATTTTTATAGAAAAACATCTATAGCTTGATTTTTCTATGTAGGTTGCACAGGTCAATTGCTGGAGTTAAGGGAAATTCGAGTTTCATGGTAGGATCTAAAAGGAAAGAATCGCCTAAATGGGAATCTGATGGCTTCCCTGCCTCCCACAATGTTTTAATTAGCAGAAAAAAATTATTTGAAGTCAAAATAACAAAACAGAGAATAATTAAATTAAAAAATAGTTGAATGCAGCCGAAACCCTCAATTTTGGACGACTGGGTCATATTTTTTTTATTTATTAAATGTCGATCAATAGAAAGAACAATTGATCACATGATTATACACGAGTAGTATTATTGAAAAACGAAATAATCAGTACAATTTCCATTTTATTATTTATGGAATATTCAATGGAAGTAGAAATCGTCCAGAATCTAACTCCCTAACTGATTAACTAATTAATTTTAATAGTGGATTATGCGATAAAATCCTATTTTATCAGCCTGTCATCAGGCAGAGCTATAAAAACGTTTGGGAAAAGTTGAATAGAAAATTTCGTGTTTTCGATATTTTCATAGAAAATATTTCTTCGGGATTTCTTCTATAAGAATTCTTGGGCATGAGATATTTCATTTTTTTCCAGGATTTATGCCCAAGAATTTCTGTAGACAATTAAACATTACAACATATTCAACACAATTCGCGAAAAAACCAAGAAAATAACAGAATTTGTTTTCATTCCTTTATTTATTTTATCGCATTTTCATCGAGATGATTGGCGACTGCTTATGAAAGAAAGTATAGAAGCAAAAGAAATAGAGTAAATTTGTAAAAAGAGAGAAGAAAAAAAAATTATAAAACAATAAATAGGTAAATAAAGAAAAATATCTTATTAGACATTTTAAATTCGACTAATAGTTTTAGATTTCTACAAATATGTTTCAACTTTAGGATAGCAATCGTCACCCTTTAGGTATTCGATCAAATTATCAATTCTATTATAGTTGTGGCATTTAGTTGAATAAATGTTCCACTGAGATGATAAATCCACACGTTTCACAGTTATTTCTTTGCTTTTTTGAGGAGAAATGCTCGTGAGTCAACTTCGTGTGACCAAAATAATGGAAAAAAAATCATGGAATTTTGTACTTCAGACGATAATTTCCAAAATTACACTGAATTGTCAATAAATTAGTAATTCAAGAATTCGAATTCAATGCATGGAATAAATTAGGAATTAATTTCCCTGAATTGTCTGATATCTACTAATTTGCATGGAATAATTGAACTGAAATTTACGATTTCCATCGATTTTTTCCATCGAAATCCCTTGAGCCACTAAGGTATAACGTATGCCAGAAATTTCAGCCAAAAATATTAAACAAAATTTCTTACCGAAAGTGCTAGATTTTTTAACGAATTTTTTTCACACATGACCCCCTCAAGAGTGAAAATGGAAAGGAAATAATTAAGAAAAGTCATATGATTTAATCCATTTGACCATAAGACTAGATAATTTATTTATAATAAGTTACAGGGCATTATCATTTATTAAATTCTATCAAACGTTATTGAAAACCCTAGCTAAACACACAATAATAACCACGAATGTCTAACTAGTCGTGCAGAATTATTTGAGGATGAAGGCACAAAAAGCAAAAAGAAAATAAAAACCTGTTGATATTGTATGTAATTATGTATAAAGTAATCATCAAATTCCCTCGAATCGACTAGAAACACCTTCCAAAATGAAGGCCTAGAGCACAAGAATGTACATGCTTGTGAACATGTACAAACCAAGGTACAATCGTATGACAATTGGTGACAATGAGTGATGTTAACTAGCTACAATATAAATATATTTATGAGAATGATGAAGCGACCGAAACATTGACCATGTCTTAGGCGTTTTTACGCTATCAAATGTATAAATGCATTATTCATCGTTTCATCTGTATCGTTTTCTTCCTCTCTGATGTATTATCCGCTGATCTGTAGAGTTATGAACAAATTGTTGTTGATGTGTAGTAAAATATGCTCGTAACAGTGTTTGGAATGATAAAATGACGATATGAGAGAATAAAATGAAGATCTGATCGATTTAAAGTTGTTCACACATGCGTTAGTCTTAATTTAAAATCGTAGAAAATCCTAATGAATTTCACAGACAATTGGATTCTATTGGAAATATTCTTTTCTTTTCTGTTGGATGTCTATTGGAAATTTTATTAGTTTTGGCCGATGGTGTGGAAGAAACAGCTTCATTGTGCATTTTTTAATGAAACGTTTGTAATGGAGACTATTTTATGGAAAAAATCAGTAGAATTGCATCGTTTCACACTTCAGAATTTTTATTTTTGTGAATTTTTTTTTCTACTTTAATTTTCTTTTCTGTGCATTATAAAAACCAAGTAAATACACGGATGAAAAAATTTAATAGAAAAACTTGGCGAATTCGTTAGAAGATTCTATTGGACTTCTATTGAACTTTCTATTAGTTTTTAGCTGATTCTATTGAAAATTCCAATAGATTTGCTAGATGTTCTACGAAATTTTTTCGTACATGAATTAATCCTCTGATCCTCACGTGGGTCGAAGAAACCACCCGACACGTTTTTTCAATATTTTTTTTCAGTTCTTAAGAACTGACAAGAACGACAAGTTATTGGACGAATCTTATTTTTCAAACCTTCAACTAAGCAATTCCTTCTTGTTTTCTCTTTCATTACTCTCATTTTGTTTCCACTTTTTTTTCATTTTCTACAAGAAAAACCATTGAAAAACTTGTTCTAAACGCATGTTTGTAACGAAGTGTGAAATAAATAAATTTTCACATCATTTTTTCATTCCGCATTTTTTAATAAAAAAATTATAATAGAAACTATTTTATAGAAAGAATCAGTACAATCTCATCTTTTCACACTTTTGTTCTATTGAGACAGTTTCTATAAGGAATACCTGAACCTGAATTTTTATTTTTTTCCACTTTATTTTCCTTTTCTCTTCATTAAAAAAATCAAATAAATAAACTCAGAAAATTTGAACCGAGGAATTTCTGTAGAAAATACTCAATAGAATAATAACTTGTACAGTAAAATCGAATCCCGTTGATTTCTTCTGCAGAATATTTTCCATTGAACATTTTTATTAGAAGAAAAAAAATAAGCCGTGGAATTTTTCGATAAAATCGGCCAAAAACTGAGAGAAAGTCCAATAGATTTGCAAGGTGTCCTACGAAATTTTTTCGTACATGAAATTAATCCTTATCATTCTTCAAATCTTCAACTCGTCAATCCCATTTTGTTTTCTCATTTTTTATTCCCATTTCCTTTCCCTTTTTGTTCATTTTTTACAATAAAAACCATTGAAAAACTTGTTCGAAACCATGTGAGTAACAAAGTGTGAAATAAATAAATAAATAGCGAGTGAATGAAGTATCCCCCGTCTATTCTTCAGGGGGAGGAGGACGATAAACCGCAATAAGGCACATCACAGAGATGACGAGTTCAGACGTAAGCAGTACCAATTGTATACTACAGAGGATGACTTCTAGCCTAAGGACGTAATTCTGCCAGAATAGGAAATAAAGGGTTGCCAGGGCACTGGGTATCGTTAATGCAATGCCGAGTAATATCAACAGTCCACGTTCTGTCAAATTTCCCTTTCTTCCCAGGTAGACACGTCCACCCTCAGTTGCAATGAGAAATAGAAGGAGTGAAAACTCCGTTATTGTTGTTCCAGAGTTTGATGATGGCAAGTTGGTGGCTTTGTACAGTCCCATTCCCAATTCACATACAGCGAACATACCGAAATAGAAGGAGTTGAGGTACATCAGGATCTCGTATGTCAGAGATGAATTTACTACGGTCGGCATGGTTTCACTATTTTTTTGTACACTTTGGGATTTCGTCAGGTTCGGGGTAATTCATGGTGAATTGCACTCATGGCGTTGCACCTGGTGTCAGTGTTATCACTTTGATTCCATCTTTTATGCACAACTGTGTGTTTTTTATTGGATGATGGATTGAATGCCACTTGAGGGCTGTGCACTGTCTGCGTGGCTCGACAATTATTTTTGTATTCTCACTCGTAAAAAGCTTTGTTTATTTTTAACCTACACGCACGTCTAGGTGCTAGGATACCAAACGACGCCGCGCGTAAGCGTAAATAGATGGGCTGCTGCTGTTGAATTTCGTGGGCGGGTTATTGGTGAAAAATTGTGCGCAGCTGCACTGCGCAGGCGGTCGACGGTGCGGGCAATATGATTTCTGTTTTTGAAACCCTGGTTTTACGGGCCGTCCCTTTTAATCGGGACGGTTCGGTTATTAGAGGGAGATTTTTTTTCATTGAAGCATTCAAACCTACAGGTTTACTCTCCTAAAAGAAAAAAAAAAGATTATATATACATAATCCTTTTTTATTATTAATATTTTCCTATTTTACTAAAGATGAACGAAACGTGAAGTTGTTTTATATCGAAATATCTCGAAACTGCCTGACCGCTAATCCTTAATTCTGATTGGTCAATATGTGACACGAAGTTATTCACAAAAAAAACACGCGGCATTTTCAAATTCTTCAGAGGTAAATTTTTTTTTCACGTCATATATATATAATATATATATTTCACATCGTTGAAATTAATAAATTCTGTCGTTTTATGGAGACCGATTATTTTTAAAAAATAAAGATAATTATTTGAAAATGAAAAATTCTGTATAGATTCTTTTACTCTATTTCGCTATTCACTTCAATCATTAGTGGAATTCTCTTTGATTCATCGTCAATATTTATAAGGTATTCATGAGAAAATGAAATTCAATGACTTCCATTTCTTCATTTCAACAAATGAATAGATCAGCGCGCGCTCTCGCGCGCGCATAGATCTTGTATTTACTAAAGATGAAAGAAACGTGAAGTTGTTTCATATCGAAATATCTCGAAACTGCCTGACCGCTAATCCTTAATTCTGATTGGTCAATATGTGACACGAAGTTATTCACAAAAAAAACACGCGGCATTTTCAAATTCTTCAGTGACATAATTTCAAATTCTTCAGAGGTAAATTTTTTTTTCACGTCATATATATATATTATATATATTTCACATCGTTGAAATTAATAAATTCTGTCGTTTTATGGAGACCGATTATTTTTAAAAAATAAAGATAATTATTTGAAAATGAAAAATTCTGTATAGATTCTTTTACTCTATTTCGCTATTCACTTCAATCATTAGTGGAATTCTCTTTGATTCATTATCAATATTTATAAAATATTCATGAGAAAATGAAATTCAATGTATTCCATTTCTTCATTTCAACAAATGAATAGATCAGCGCGCGCGAGAGCACGCGCATAGATCTTGTATTTACTAAAGATGAAAGAAACGTGAAGTTGTTTCATATCGAAATATCTCGAAACTGCCTGACCGCTAATCCTTAATTCTGATTGGTCAATATGTGACACGAAGTTATTCACAAAAAAAAACACGCGGCATTTTCAAATTCTTCAGTGACATAATTTCAAATTCTTCAGAGGTAATTTTTTTTTTCACGTCATATATATATATATATAATATATATAATATAATAATATAATAATATAATAATATAATATATAATATATATAATATAATATATATAATATATATAATATATATATTTCACATGTATATATATCATCGGTGAAATTAATAAATTCTGTCCTTTTATGGAGACCGATTATTTTTAAAACTTGAAGATAATTAATTGAAAATGAAAAATTCTTTATAGATTCTTTTACTCTACTTCGCTATTCACTTCAATCATTAGTCGAATTCTCTTTGATTCATTATCAATATTTATAAGGTATTCGTGAGAAATTGATTTTCAATGACTTCCATTTCTTTATTTCAACAAATGAATAGATCAGCGCGCGCTCTCGCGCGCTCTCTCGCTCTCGCGTTTTGTAGTCAATCGTGTTGACTACAAAAGTAGAAAAGCATTTCACTGGAGAAAAAATAAAACATAAATGTTCACTATTTTATTTCACTAATGTTTGAGATCGAGTCACCAGATGTCGGCTGGTGACTGTCAAAATTCAACTCGATGATGCTCCGGAAGAACTTATAAAAAAATTACCGCGACTATGTCTAGATATTTGAAGCTATCGAAAATAGTGAGATGTTTCAACTATTCGAGACTCTTTATTCAGCGATCTGAAAATTCATCGAAACGAAGTCTATTTCAAACGTCAATAGCGAGGTTGAGGGTCAGTGAGGTTCTGGAGGCGGTACCCAAACCGATGATCTTGACAGGAAAATCGATGAAGGAAGAAGTTGTTCTTGAGACCGGGAGGAGTGAGGACAGACGTCTTGCTCGGAGTTTCTGGCAGATTTTTCTTGTTCTGATGCGCGTAATTTTAATCACGTCGACGGCTTCGTTATTACTTACTTTGTATTATGTCAGTCCGAAGGTTTGTTCCGCAGCGTTGGTTCAAGGTACTCCCATTTTTTCATGAATTTACACCAATACAGTAGCGAAGCGGTAATCGATTTAAGTTGATTTTGACTATTGGTCAGTTTTCAATGAATATCTCGAAATCTAGGGGAGATAGAAAAATTTTTGTCATAACCTTTTTTATGGCCCTTGATTCGCTCTACAAAAAAGGTTATTACAAAAATTTCGTTATCCCCCTTAGATTGGAAGATATTCCTCGGCAACTCAGCTAAAGGCTGAATCGACTTAAAGTACTTCCTCAGTGAGTTATACTTGGGGAAAATTTCGCAATGAACTGAAGACCTAAAATTGGATCATATGTTTTGAGGACATGTAAAAAGGATTCCCAAAATTTAAAGTATTTTTTCCACGCGAATCTTTGAGATATCCATCGTCAAACATTCAATTTTTGTCTTTTTTAAGTTTTTGTCGATGCATAACTCACTGAGGAAGCACGCACGAAAAAATTTAATAGAAAAGCCTATCGAGTTCGTTGGAAAATTCTACTGAATTTCTATTACACTTTCTATTAGTTTTTGGCTGATTCTATTAAAATGATCAATAGAAAATATTCAGTAGAAAAAGTCAATAGAATTCAATTTTTCTATATACCTTATCCTATTGAGATATTTTCTATAGAATTCGCTCGACTCAAATTTTCAGTTTTTTTCATTCGATTTTTCTTTTCTTCTCATCAAGAAAATCAAATGAAAAAACTTAGAATATTTAAGCCGAGGAAAATCTATAGAAAATATCTCAATAGGATAAGGTATATAGAAAAATTGAATTCTATTGACTTTTTCTACTGAATATTTTCTATTGATCATTTTAATAGAATCAGCCAAAAACTAATAGGACAGTTCAATAGATATTCAATAGAATTTTCTAACGAATTCGATAGGTTTTTCTATTAAATTTTTTCGTTCGTGAGATCCAAGTACTTTGGCTATTTTTTCTCCAGTGAAATGCTACTCTTCTTTTGTAGTCGGACATTGGAGTTTTCATTTGAGCCCCGTTTGACCCTAAGATTTCCACCATTTTACAATGATTTAATCATTTAAACTTTCCAGGTCTGGATTTGAATCTCGACATTCAACCGTTAGAAAACTTTTTAAAAATCTGAGAAAAAAATTAAGAAAGTTTCTTTTTGAAGGGAGATTGATGAAATAATTTAAAAAAATGCCATTTTTGAAAATTGCGAGCATTTTCGATAAATAATTTACAAACAATCAATTTTCCACCATTTGTTCGGAATAGTAACGAATTTATTCGTATCCAGAATTTTACCAGAAATAGATTTTATGCTTAACAAATGAGGTTTCCGAAGGTTTAAACAATTTCAATTATTTATTTATAAATAATGAATTTAAAAAAATAATAATTCTATGCAAAGTGTAATGTGAATGACGCTGAATATTCATAATTTGTTAGAAATTTTTCTCAAGCCATTTAATTCAGTGGTGAAGTGGTAAAACGGTTTAAGTCGACTTATCTCTTAGTTGCGTTTTTGAAGAATATCTCCGAATTCAAAGGAGATAATGAAATTTTCATAATAACCTTTTTTCTAGAGCAAATTGAGTGCTACAAAAAAGGTATTGACAAAAATTTAGCTATCTCCCTTCGATTCCGTGATATTCACTAAAAACTGGTCAATAGTCAAAATCGACTTGAACCGGTTTACCACTTCGCTACCGAATTAACAAATTTGTTATTGAAAATGGTTGAATTTATAGTGTGGTCTGTATCAAACTGTAAACGATACTTGGATATCCTTAAACCGTTTTACCGCTTCGCTACTGAACAAATCTGACTGAACTGCTCGTTCCCTGAATTCTGCAGTCATGGAATTCCTGGGCTCCACATTCATCAAACTTGGACAGTGGGCATCGACTCGCAGGGATTTATTCTCTGAAGATCTCTGCGATACTCTCGCACATCTTCAACGGCAGAGCAGTGAACACTCGTGGATGTACACCGAGTTTTTGATGTCTGCGACGTTTGGCCCAGAGTGGGAGAAATTGTTCAGACGATTTGACAGGAAACCAATTGGTTCGGGATGTTGTGCGCAGGTATCTGCCAGTAATTTGCGGATTGCGATTTACACAAAAAAAATTATTTTGAGACTTACGATCTGAAACTGAGACTTATGGGAGTTTCCAATTGAGACTGTAATGATTTTTTAATTTTAAATTGAGCGCTGAAACTCTGAACTTGAGGTCTTCGAAAGTTTCAACTTAAGATTTTCGAACGTTTCAATTTAAGACTTGAAAATCTCACTTGGAGACTTGAAGATCTCAATTTAAACCCTCGGAAAGTCTGAAGAGTCTGAGTTTAGAAAGTCAGGGACGAAAAAATTTAATAGAAAAACCTATCGAATTCGTTAGAACTGTTCTATTAGTTTAGGCCGATTCTATTGAAATCTTCAATAGAAAATATTCAGTAGAAAAAGTCAATAGAATTCAATTTTTCTATATAACAAATACGTAATTTTTATTGAATATTTCTCTCCATGCATTTTCTATTTAGGTTCACAAGGCGTGGATCAAACGAAAGAAATTACAGCTCTACCAGGCTACCGATAATTCCCATCCACCGTTCTATCTACACGGTAATTAAGAAAATACCCGTCACCCATTTTAGCGTAACGTAATTAGCTACCCAACATAATCGAAGAATGCTTTCAGTTCTCGAGCATCTGCGCATCGGGTTCATCCTGGATTTCGTTAGTAAGAGACGTTTAATGTGGCAATTATTACAGAAAAATATTATTTTCATTCTGGAATGAAAGAATTGTCCGAATATTTTGACTATAAATAATCCACAGGTTCACGATTTCCAACGAAGAAAGTTATCCCTGTTATTGAAAATTCAGAGGATGATGAACTGGTGCCTGTCGTTGTAAAAGTAGTGCATCCCTGTGTGGAGAATTACGTAGAGTGAATTTCACGCTTATGATGCATAAATTCATGACAACAGCAACGAAATTATATGAATTCTTTGATTGTTCTAGAACGGACTTATTTATGATTGAATTACTTTCCGTTTTAACATCGTTCTTGGTACCGTCTCTACGCTGGTTGGATCTCCCTGGCTGTGCCAAGGAATTTTCCACAATGATGTTGAATCAAGTAAGATCATCATTGATGTGCCACACGGAGAAAAATATATTTCATCATGCTGTACTAAAAAAAAAAAAAAAAAAAAAAAAAAAAAAAAAAAAANGGAACCCCTGCGTTTATATAAATCTTTAGAATTGTGTTTTCTCCTGCAATTATTATTTTTTATTCCTTAAACTACTTCATTGACTCAACAATGCGATAATCGAGTCGATAAAGTCATTTCATAGATAGAAATTAATAATTGTAGGAGAAAACACAATTCTACGATTTGATGTAGCCAAAGGGGTTCCGTCTCCCTTTAAGAATAATCGGGCGAGGAGAAAATGTAGGAGGTGAGGCGGAGGGGTTTCTATTGTTTTCCTGCAGAAAACCAATCGCTGAACAAAAAAAATTTTCCCATTCGGATTCAAAATTCAGGCAATATTAGGGAGTATCTTCGGTTAAAAAGTCTCTAAAGATGACAAATGTCTCTAAAGATGATGTGTGTTTTCCTATTTACTAAAGATGAACGAAACGTGAAGTTGTTTTATATCGAAATATCTCGAAACTGCCTGACCGCTAATCCTTAATTCTGATTGGTCAATATGTGACACGAAGTTATTCACAAAAAAAACACGCGGCATTTTCAAATTCTTCAGTGGCATAATTTCAAATTCTTCAGAAGTAAATTTTTTTTCACGTCATGTATATATAATATATATATTTCACATGTATATATACTATCGGTGAAATTAATAAATTCTGTCCTGTTATGGAGACCGATTATTTAAAAAAATTGAAGATAATTAATTGAAAATGAAAAATTCTTTATAGATTCTTTTACTCTACTTCGCTATTCACTTCAATCAGTAGTCGAATTCTCTTTGATTCATTATCAATATTTATAAGGTATTCATGAGAAAATGAAATTCACTGAATTCCATTTCTTCATTTCAACAAATGAATAGATCAGCGCGCGCGGGAGCGCGCGCATAGATCTTGTNCATGGATCTTGCTTCAGTTGAAAAGCAGAGTTGTGACAACATTGTTACAATATCATCTTTCTCATCAGCCAAGCTTTACGCACTCGAAATTCACTTTACGCACGACCTTGAACTTTACGCACACAGTGCACAAAAGCAGCCACTTTACCCGAACTCGGCAGGTATTATAAAAAATAGGATGTGTTACGCGTGCGTGCGAAAAAGTGGTTCTTTACGCACTTGTAACACAATATGCTACACTGAGAGAAAAAATTAGCTCTGCCGAAAAGATAAATGTTCACCTGTACAAAATTTTCTTGTCTCAAGATTATTGTTCCCCACGAGAAAATATTCTGCAGCGAAAAATTTATTCTTTTCACTTGAAAATCTGACAGTGGCATATGAATACATATTCTTTCGAGTAGAATGCCAGGATTCAAATATCATGATAAATAATAATCTGTTTGACTGCAAACCAAAAAATTTTCCACGAAGCAGAAGTTTGAGCTGACAGAAGAACCATTCTTTCAGCAAAAATACGACTGTATAATCTCTACTGCGACTTTATCTATTATTTCCAATATTACTCATTTGTTTCCCCGCCATTGGTAGTTATTGAGTGAGAAATCAAAGTCCAGTTCTGAGGTCACAAACGGATAAGTTTGAGAAGATCAAACCTCTGGTTCACAGAAAATTTCAAAACCTTTTACGAAGCTTGTAATCAGAAGTAAACTATACGGTGACTCCACGTATCTTATATTATTAGACGAAGATATCTCGATATTTTTGAGCGGAATAAATATATTTTCGGCAGAGGTAATTTTTTCTCTCAGTGTATTAGTTTTCAATGATCCGAGGCATTATAAAATTTGAAAAATCGTAAAATCAACTGATTGTGTCACTACTTTTCAGTGACACACTGACAGAAAAGTTCCCTAACATATAGACCACATTTACTTGAGAGAATTGAGGAAGTTATCTTGAATTGCTTAAATCTCAGTATGATTGCGCCTCACGGAACTCGAATAAAGTCTCATTTTCATCACGCGGTGACGAAAAGTGAACTTTTCGGCACGCTCCGCGTGCCTAAAAGTCCAATTTCCGCCACATTGTGATGAAAAATATTGTTCATAACTCGTGAAAAAATGATTTTTGCACTCGTTACGAAATATACTATTATATCACTATCATTCCGAGTTACATCATAAATATATTACATATCGAAACATTGGAAGTGCATAAGAAAATCACGAAAACAATAAATACTTGAAGTTTGACGATTCTTTTATGGGAGAATAAAGCGATTAAAGAAAAATTACTTGTCTCAATAGTAAATAAATGTTCAGATATGAGGCTTTTTTTCTCAGTGCAAGATGCTACATTTGAGAAATTTTGTGATTGAATCCCTGAAGTTTACAACATTAATCACAAGGAGTTACAGACATATTTCTAGAAAGTAGAACTTTGTTTTTCTCTGCACATATACGCGGAGAGAAATATTCAATAAAAATTACATATCTTTTCCGTAATTCCGGAGCGAAATGTGGTTGTGGGAAATTTTACGCAACTGTCACGTAATTTTTACCTCAAATCACGGAATTTTTCCAGAGCGTTCCGTAATTTTTACCTGAATCTCCTGTGAAAAATTACGATACCGTCACTTAAATTTTCGGAGTTGATTCCGTAATCGGTGAGCGAATTAACCTCCGTAATTTTTACTGAACATTTCTTTCCGTGTACTACGATACAATCTCTAAAATTATAATCGTTATGTCAATTTCCCATATCAGTTGGACATGAAGATGGAAGCTCACAATCTCCAACGATTTTCATCGAATTTCTCAAAGAACCATTCGGTCATTTTCCCCACGCCCTTGAGGAATCTAACGACCCGTAGGATTCTCGTTGAGAGTTATCACGAGGGAAAACACATTTCGGAGTATCTGAATCTGTCGGATCATAACGATTTGAAGAAACAGTTGGTCAAGATTGCCATCCCTCTAGTTATGAAAATGGTATGATATATCTTATATCACTGTTCTAGACAGAGAAAAAAATACGAGAATTTTTCTCTACACGGAGAGAAATGTTCAGTAAAAATTATGAAATTCACAATTCGCCCACCGATTACGGAATCGACTGAGAAAATTTAAGTGACGGTATCGTAATTTTTCACAGGAGATTCAGATAAAAATTACGGATCGCTCCGGAAAAATTCCGTGACCGTTCCGTAAAATTTCACACAACCACATTTCGCTCCTGAATTGGGAAACAGATAAGTAATTTTTATTGAATATTTCTCTCCGTGTACAAATCCAGACGAACCCGATGGCTTAGTGTAGTGGATAAGTTCCACACACGAAAAAATTTAATAGAAAAACCTATCGAATTTGTTAGAAAATTCTATTGAATTTCTATCAAACTTTCTATTAGTTTGTGACTGATTCCATTGACATGTTCAGTAGGAAACATTTAATAGAAAAAGTCAACAGAATTCGATTTTTCTATATAACTTATTCTTTTCATATATCTTCTATAGAATTTGCTCAACTCAAATTTTCTGTTTTTTTTCATTCTATTTTTATTTTCTTCTCATCTAGAAAATCAAACGAAAAAACATGGAAAATTTGAGCCGAGGAAATTCTACAGAAAATATCTCAGTAGAATAATTTGTATAGAAAAATTGAATTCTATTGACTTTTTCTACGGAATATTTTACATTGAACATCTTAATAGAACAGTTCAATAGAAATTCAATAGAATTTTCTAACGAATTCGATAGGTTTTTCTGTTAAATTTTTTCGTCCATGTTACCTCTTTATCCACATCAAATAAATCGTTTCTTTAATATAAAAAAACGTTGCTTAATCCAAACGAAGACTTCACCACTTAGAAATCGAATCATTATCTAAACGACGAAGAGAACAAATTTATTAACAAACTATAACCCGTCATTTGGATCACATAATAATAATCATCGAATAACAACAATAAATATCAGAACAATGAATAAATACATAACATTCTACCCCATTCAAAATCTCAAACTCTTTCGATCAATTCAAGGTATTCGAGGACAATTTCTTCCACTGCGATCTCCATCCTGGGAACATCCTAGTACAGGAAGAGGATGTCCTCCGAAGAATAAATAAAACTCAACTCTATCAACGAATTTTTTCGTTCCGCTCCAGGAAAGCACCACGTCTTGTGATCTTAGATTGCGGCCTGGTCTCATCGCTCAGCAATCGATGTTTGCAGAATCTCCGTGATGTCTTCCACTCGATTGTCACAGGCGACGTAATGAGTCAATTGATCCAGCTCATGTAGAAAAATCCGTAAAATAGTATATCTTGAAACGAGTGCGTAATAGTATATTGTGTTACTAGTGCGTAAAGTAACACATCCTATTTTCTGTGATACCTACGGAGTTTATTGTTCGCAACGGTAGTGGGGGTAAAGTGATTGTTTTTGTGCACTAGTGCGTAAAGTGCATTTCGAGTGCGAGAATGTATATTGCGTTACTAGTGTGTAAAGCTCCACTTTTTCGCACGTACGTGTAACACATCCTATTTGACGTGGATACGTCGATGGTTTCAATATGGGGGTCATATTGGGAAACGGTCCCTCTGTGCAGCGCCATCTATCGGCATTCTAGAAAATTCTAGACATTTCGAAATAATTCGACAAATTCCTCGAAATTATGAAAAAATTCAAGGAGTTTCTAGAAAATTGGAGAAAGATTCGCAACGGTAGTGGGGGTAAAGTTGTTTTTGTGCACTAGTGCGTAAAGTGCATTTCGAGTGCGAGAATGTATATTGCGTTACTAGTGCGTAAAGCTCCACTTTTTCGCACGCACGTGTAACACATCCTATTTGACGTGGATACGTCTATGGTTTCAATATGGGAGTCATATTGGGAAACGGTCCCTGTGTGCAGCGCCATCTATCGGCATTCTGGAAAATTCTAGACATTTCGAAATAATTCGACAAATTCCTTGAAATTAAGAAAAAATTCAAGGAGTTTCTAGAAAATTCTAGGGAATTCAAACAGTTTCTAGAAAATTCGAGAGAATTCAAGGAGTTTCTAGGAAATTCAAGGGAATGCAAGGAGTTTCTAGAAAATTTGAGAAAGATTCGCACCGGTAATAGGGGTAAAGTGATTGCTTTTCTGCACTAGAGCGTAAAATTCAAGAGCGTGCGTAAAATAAATTTTGAGTACGTAAAGCAGAGCTTCACGCACGAGAATTTACTTTACGCACGTTCGTGAATTTAACGGACGCCGTGCGGAAAATAACTATTTTACGCGCACTGAACGGTTTCGAAAAATGCACTTTTCAAGCAGGTATGACAAAAAGTTATAAAAACTCTAAACCGATACAGTTTTCTGCGAGGGAATTTTTACATCAATTTTACCCTAAGTTTACCGTAAAAATTACCTCACGAATTGGAATTTTTACGCAGGTTTTAGGTAATCTTCTTATATAAAAAGAAGATGTCATATAAATTTGGGATGTCCGTTTCTCTGGGGAATCATAGAATATTCTAGATAGTCATAGAACCGTCTAGAGCGGTTCAGAATGTTCTGGTGAATTCGGCAATCGTCTAAAAACTTCTCCATTCTTCCAAGCTTTGATCATTCTTTCTAGTATATCCCAAACCATTCTGAAATCCCGTGAAAATTTATAAAAAATTATAACAACTCGATTTATTTGAAGTTTACCTACGAGACCCTTTCATCATTGGTGCACGCTCTAGGTGCTTCGGCAATATTTCAGAATATTCTAGAATTTTCTAGCAGTTGCCGTCTAAACGTCGATGCTCTCAAAAAAATCGACCGCCATAAGGCGGACCACTGACCACCCTCGTATTTTCATAGCTGTTAAAAAATTTCCACTGAATTTTCCAGGCGTTAGTCTTGAAATATGAAACAAATGACGGTTTCTTTGAAATTTCAGGGAATTTTACCATTGAAAATTCGTGGTTTTCGTGGAAAATTCATGGAACTGTTAAATTTCAGTTAAATTATTCCATGAAAATTAATGGAAATGAGGAAAATTCAAACAAAAATGTCCTTGAATTTTCAATTTTTTGAAATTTCAGAGTAATTTCTTATTGAATTATCATGTTTACATTGACAATTTCCTCAATTCTGATTTTGACCAATCAGAGTGCATTATTCGGAGTCACGTGACGCGTTTCACACTGATAATTTCCCCGGCTGCAGGGAAATTATCAGACTGATAATTTCCCTGTAGCCTGTCAATTGATTTCTACGAATTTGACAGATATTCCTCACATTTTGGTCCCATAACCCCGAACACTGCACCCTGATCGGCCAAAATGAGAATTGAAGAAATTGTCCTCCGAATACCCCTCGACCTTAAAAATTCATCGGATATTTCCCTCAAGTTTTCCTGCATATCAACGATCGGGATCAGTTTTGCAGATTAAAATCGCGCTGTGCGCTCGGGATTTTACTGCAAAGCTGATCCCGTTGCTATGCAACAAAACATTCGGGAAATATCCGATAATTTTTAAGGTCTTGGGGTATTATAGCTGAAAATTCATGGAAATTTCGGCATCTTTATGGTTCTTCCACTGAAAAATCAGGAATTTCCTTGAATTTTCAGGGAAACTTAAAGTTTCATAGACTTTTTTCCGTTAAATTGAATTCAGTGTCGTTTTCTGGAAAATTCAGTTAAATTTTTTTAACAGTGTACGTAAAATCATTAATTCATTGAGACCCTGCAAATGTTTAGGGTGCCCTGGCAGGTGAATACCTCATGCGACACAGCAGCCACATGACGCCGGATCCAAGCGGTTTCAAGACTGCCATCGAAAGTATCGTCAACCGACACATGACAAATAAATTCAGTCTTCAAAATGTATGCAACTCGCCCATCAAGGCCAATTTCGACAATTAATAATCTGTTTATCAATGTAGGTCAACCTAACTGCAGTCATGAGAGAATTTTACTCAGCCTTGATTCATTACAAGGTTCAACAAGACAGTGCCTTCATAAACGTCGTTCTCAGTGTTCTGTTGATTGAGGGCCTCGGACGAAATTTAGATGCAACCAGCGACATACTCCAGGAGCTCATTCCATTCCTCCGTTGAGCAGGCGAAAAAAACTGCAATTTCAAGTTGGAAAATAAAATCACTTCGAGCAGGTTTTTGAGAGACGTGAAATTATATCAACGTTTTTTTGGCTCTTCGGGGGTATAATCACACTGCTCTCACAATTCAAACCGCAGCCGTTCAAGATTCACTTCCTGGTTGAGGCGAGAACAAGGAGCACTTCCCACTGTACGTGATTGCGTGGTTTACATGTTTCCTTTGGATTTTCTTGTCATGAATGGAATAAAATTATGGAACAGTGCAACATTTCACGGCTTGCGATCATTTCATTCTATACGATAATACATGTGTGAAAAAATGTAATAGAAAAATCTTGTGAATTTGCTAGGAAATTCTATTCCTTTTCTGTTAAACTTTCCATTAGTTTTTGGTCGATTCTCGTGAAGCATTCGGGGGCTTATCTGCATGTTTTGTTTCAATAGAAGTATTGGGGAGAAAAATCAATTGAATTCGATTCGTCCGCACAACTCGGAATGATATACACACTTGCCTACACAATGCGCATCTCACGTCGGTATGATATGCCGGGATAGCCAAATCCATAAGATATAATTACAGTTAAATACTGTAGGCGTCAATAGTTAACATCCCTCTTAAATTTTTTAATTATTCACTTATCATCAATCTAAATATTCAAATTTTTAACTATTTTGTCAATGAATAATTCAGTTATGAAGATTGACGATTATTTGTGTAGTCGAAAATCCCCTTAACTAGAATTATTCACTTAATGGTAAATTTACAGCTCCATACTATCAAATATTTAATTCATTATTAATCTGAAAAATTGGATTATTAATATTATAGTATTTCTAAAATTTGATCAGTATATTTTAAACCTTCATTAATGTAAGGGTTCAATCCTTGTAATATTACAGAAATGTAATATTGATGGGGATTCCTGATGATATGTGACCAGCTATGGTGTTCGTTATCATTACAATTCAATTCAATTTATTAATGGTTCTGGAATACATTGCCCCATCGCATGGGGGGAAGAGAATACTTTAAGGATGTTCGACACCCTTTTAGCCAAAATTGACGCTGTTTTCATTTTTCTGGCAAATTATCGATGGGAGTGACGTGAAAAAATATAACGATTTTGTGGTTTGTCATTCTTTAATGGCTCACGAAGTTGCGTAGTGGTGCGATAATTTTCATGCGTTTTTTCTACAGTTTTGTGATTCTTTTTAAAAGTTTAGAGAAAACGCAGGAAAATGTTCGCACCACCTTAAAATTTCGTCAGTCATTAAATAATGACAAAACGCAAAAACGTTATATTTTTTCACGTCAATTCCATCATAAGTTTGCCAGAAAAATTAAAAAAACGTGAATTTTGGCAGAAAGGGTGTAGAACATCCTTAAAATAAATACAAAAAGTTTGGAAGTAAAATTTGAGAGTACAAAAGGGGTTTGAGCCATTCGAGAAGAGAAAATAATCGTCTAGGACAATATGTGACGCTAGTGCATCAGGACAGTTTATTATAAAAGTGTTCGTTATCAATAATTATAATAATAATAATATTAATCAGCATAATAATAATAATAATATATTATTCTATTGAAATATTTCATATAAAAGTTCATCGGCTCATGTTTTCCAAGTTTTTTTGTTTGATTTCTTAAAGAGGAGAGAATAAAAATAGAGTAGAAAAAAACTAGGAAAATTTCTGCTGAATAATTCGTATAGAAAATGTCTCAATGAAAAAAGTTGTATAAAGTATAAAATTCTACCGATTTCTCCTATAAAATAGTATCAATTGGTCATTTTCCACTTAAAAAACGCGCAGTAAAACCGCGGAATTCGTCAATCGAATTGGCCAAAAGGAATAGGATTTTCTAATGATTTCGCGGCATTTTCCTATGAATTTTGTCTTGATGTATTACTCTCTTGAGATTTATTCTATAAAAATTTCGGGGTACGGATTTTTCTCGCTGTATTGTTTGCTATTTCTCTTTGCAACGTGCAAAAAATGAAACAAAAAAAACAAATAGGATAAGTTATGTGTAAAAATGAACATCTATTGATCTTCGATTGCATAATTTTCAATGGGCGTTGGGGAAAAAAACTTGAACAACTTTTAATTGAATTTCGATCGCAATTCAATACAATTTCCCGGAGAAATTGCTAGGTTTTTCTGTTAAACATTTTCATACATTTATAATTAGTGTTTTGCATATTTTTCGTTACTGATTCGTATTTTTTTATTTAAAAAATGCTTGTATTCCTTCAGTGGACTGTAAATTTCGTGATTTTCTCTCTATATATATAATCAAAAAATAAGGAGGTAAAAAATTCAGGAGACGCCCCTGATTCTGACCCTTATCAGTGACCCTGATGATGCCATTGAGAATGAATTATTATCTCTGTCTCTCTAATGTGTTCATATCTCTATAGGTTCATATGGAGTCATATGGGGGTTATATGAGGGTCATGTGGGGGACATATGGGGGTCAAATCCTTAAAAAATAATAATAAGAATATCTTTAAATTATAAAAACCCAAATCGATTTCTGGTGATGAAAATTTAGTACTCGAAATTGAGACTTCAAAATTGGGGGTCAGAATAAGGGTCTTGAGGATTGAAATAAGGGTCATGAGGGTCAGAATATTGGTCCCAATAAGGGTCACAAGGGTCAGATTAAGGGTCCAAATAAGGGTCACAAGAATCAGATTAAGGGTCATATGAGTCAGTATAAGGGTCACAGTAAGGGTCCAAATAAGGGTTATGGGGGTCAAAAACTAAGGGTCACAATAAGGATCATGGAGGTCATATGTGGGTCATATGGGGGTTGGCGAGCGAAGCGAGCAAGGGCCGAAGCCTCCTAATGAATAAATAGAAAAAGAATGGTTGAGTCACGTCCGAAGTCGTTGGATGAAGCCTTTTGTAAATAATAAAAATGTCAATTTTTCAAAGGAGGTAAATCATTCTATCAATTTTTTTTCTATATAATGCGAACACCTCACCATATTCAAGAACATCGAAAGGGAGCGAGCGAAGCGAGCGGGGGGGGGCGAAGCTTCCCGGGATTGTCGAGCGAAGCGAGCAAGGGGCGAAGTGAGCAAGGGGCGAAGCCCCCTAGAGAAAACTAAAAAAAACATATCTCTATATTGTAGATATCCAAAGCGACTTCTGGTGATTGAAATTTCGCACTCGAAATTACGACTCCAAAATTAAGGGTCAGAAATTGAGGGTCACAAGGGTTAAAATATGTGTCATGGGGATCGAAATAAGTGTAATGGGGGTCATATGGGGCTATATGAGGGTCATGTGGAGCTATATGGGGGTCATACGCAGGTTGACGAGCGGAGCGATCAGGGGGCGTAGCCCCGCAGTATTCGATATTCTCCATTAAATTTGCCGATTTAATAATTCTTTTGAATGCAAAAATGTCATGAAACAACTCAATGAAGCCTTTTGTAAATAATAAAAATGTCAATTTTTCAAAGGAGATAAATCATTCTATCAATTTTTTTTCTATATAATACGAACACCTCCCCATACTCAAGAAGATCGGGAGGGAGCGAGCGAAGCGAGCGGGGGGGGCGGAGCTCCTCGGGATTGTAGAGCGAAGCGAACAAGGGGTGAAACTCTCCGGGATTGCCGAGCGAAGCGAGCAAGGGGCGAAGTGAGCAAGGGGCAAAGCCCCCTAGATAAAACTAAAAAAAACATATCTCTATATTGTAGATATCCAAAGCGACTTCTGGTGATGAAAATTTCGCACTCGAAATTACGACTCCAAAATTAAGGGTCAGAAATTGAAAGTCACAAGGGTCAAAATATGGGTCATGGGGATCGAAATAAGGGTAATGGGGGTCATATGGGGCTATATGAGGGTCATGTGGAGCTATATGGGGGTCATACGGAGGTTGACGAGCGGAGCGATCAGGGGGCGTAGCCCCCCAGTATTCGATATTCTCCATTAAATTTTCCGATTTAATAATTCTATTGAATGCAAAAATGTCATGAAACAACTCAATGAAGCCTTTTGTAAATAATAAAAATGTCAATTTTTCAAAGGAGGTAAATCATTCTATCAATTTTTTTTCTATATAATGCGAACACCTCACCATATTCAAGAACATCGAAAGGGAGCGAGCGAAGCGAGCGGGGGGGGGCGAAGCTTCCCGGGATTGTCGAGCGAAGCGAGCAAGGGGCGAAGTGAGCAAGGGGCGAAGCCCCCTAGAGAAAACTAAAAAAAACATATCTCTATATTGTAGATATCCAAAGCGACTTCTGGTGATTGAAATTTCGCACTCGAAATTACGACTCCAAAATTAAGGGTCAGAAATTGAGGGTCACAAGGGTTAAAATATGTGTCATGGGGATCGAAATAAGTGTAATGGGGGTCATATGGGGCTATATGAGGGTCATGTGGAGCTATATGGGGGTCATACGCAGGTTGACGAGCGGAGCGATCAGGGGGCGTAGCCCCGCAGTATTCGATATTCTCCATTAAATTTGCCGATTTAATAATTCTTTTGAATGCAAAAATGTCATGAAACAACTCAATGAAGCCTTTTGTAAATAATAAAAATGTCAATTTTTCAAAGGAGATAAATCATTCTATCAATTTTTTTTCTATATAATACGAACACCTCCCCATACTCAAGAAGATCGGGAGGGAGCGAGCGAAGCGAGCGGGGGGGGCGGAGCTCCTCGGGATTGTAGAGCGAAGCGAACAAGGGGTGAAACTCTCCGGGATTGCCGAGCGAAGCGAGCAAGGGGCGAAGTGAGCAAGGGGCAAAGCCCCCTAGATAAAACTAAAAAAAACATATCTCTATATTGTAGATATCCAAAGCGACTTCTGGTGATGAAAATTTCGCACTCGAAATTACGACTCCAAAATTAAGGGTCAGAAATTGAGAGTCACAAGGGTCAAAATATGTGTCATGAGAATCGAAATAAGGGTAATGGGGGTCATATGGGGCTATATGAGGGTCATGTGGGGCTAAATGGGTGTCATGTGGGGGTCAT